AAAGAAATTAATTCGTTTCGAATATTAATGAGGAATTGTACGCTAATCGAGGTGTTCAAAGATGATATTTCACGTGGAACGACGTAATAATAATAAATCGTGATTCACCTGTCCAGCTCTTGTCGCAAGATATCGTAGACAGGTGTTCTCTCGTCCCAGCTGGATCTCTTCCGCCTGCGGTACGTCCCATCGAAGTAGTCCGTGAAGAAGCTCGCGTTGTCTGGCAACGCGTATTGGAATTGAATGTTTTGTCCGTAAGAGAGAGTCCTGCCCGAGAGTTTCACCGGCATCGCCAGACCGACGACCAACTTGGCAGAAACACGATTAATGTGCAAACGTGCGAGGATACGAATCCGGTTTACTTCAACTACGCACACCGATTGATAAATAAACGGAATTTCTGAAACGTGACTGTATAAATTGAAACGTTATGCTTGACGAGAAACCGGACGAGGTAAACTCGTTTTTTATCTGAAATTCGTTGCAGCTTCGAGTCGGTCTCGAAAGAGAGAACCAACGGGATCACGCGAAACAAAAATCGCCTTATTACCCGGTGAACAAAGTAAACGTACTTATGGCATGCAGCTGGCGCGTTCTTACTTTTTCAACAAGATAAATAGAAAAACCGTCGGTGGTGGCGTTTCATTGAGACACGCGATCCAACGCTCGAGAGCCCGTGAAACAGGTAAATAAATTCTGTCCGGTTTTTTTTACGGGCCAAAGTCGCAAAGCTCGAGCCGAAACTTCGCGGACTCTCCGTCTGATAAGAGACGTTCTAAGGACACGGGAGTAATTCAGAAGTCGGTCGTTGTTCCTTTACTCGTTCGCTTTGAAGCTGCGCTTTTGACGCAGTGCAGCTTCGCATGTTTAGATACATACTGACCCAGAAACGGTGAATTTTATTTCACGCCAGTCTGCCGCGCCGCTGCCGCCGCCGCTGCCTCATCCTCAAGGCGAACGTCCAAATATTTGCCATTTCCGACGTTTCTGTTGCGCGGAAAATCTGCTAATCAAACACAATTTCCCGTATTCCCGTTCTACCTGAAAATCCTTAACAAGCTCCTCCGTTCGGCGACCCGGAATCCTCAAAAAATATACAGACGGAGTCCGTAGAGCCAGTCGCATAATCGACTCGATCGTCGATAATCGCGACGCGTCAGAAATACAAATATGAGCCAATAATT